TTTTTTTAAACACGAAGGCGCGCTATAAAAGGAGCCTTAGGTCCCACTGGACCATTTGTCAATCAACCGTCGTGTGATGTAGAACTCTTAGAGTCAAGTCAGCTTGAGCTACAGCTACTCCAAAGCAGTGAACAGCGGGCGCATTCCTCAAAATTGTTTTATGTCTTCATCACAATACAAGAATTTTTGAGATTTGTATTTCCTTTCTCCAATGGAAACTGTCTTTATTTGTGGCGGTAAATTTGAGATCGAAGTAGGTGGTACGCACGTTACCTCATGCCACCATGCTGGTGGAAGTAAACAATAGATATCTCATTAGCTCCTTTTGTTCGTCTACCAGCATTTAAATTTGACCCGCACACGTCAACGGTGAGTGACAAATGAGCCTAGGTCTTCCCAGGGAAGACTTCCTTATGTAGCGCACCTTCGTGTTTAAGCCGATTTTAACTTAGCACCACCTAGTATTACAAATCTCTTTACTAAGCACACGACAAATTACAATTTAAGAGATAACCTTAAATTCGATTTAACCCATGCCTACTGGAAAGGAAACGACGATTCCTTCACTCATTGAGCCAGTATAATTTGGAACATTCTACCTGTAAAGATCAAGTCTCTTCCTTCCTTTGCATCGTTTAAAGCAAATCTTGTAAAGTACTCTAAATCTATTGATAAAATATCTTTTGGTTGTAGTTCTACCATTACATTTAAGAACTCTGATGATTTTATATATTTTTAGATGCTATTGCTTTTATTTGTTAAATCTGTAAGTTTCTTCGATTAAATTAATGTGAATTTAAATTATCTAGTTCATATATTTTGTCAATATTTATTCATGCATAGCAGGTCCACATCAGCTTTCGCTGCCATATTTTTAACCTGCATTGTTAAATAAAATAATGTATGTATGTAAAACTAAGTATGTATGTATGTATGCATGTATGTATGTATGTAAAACTATGTATGTAAAACTATGTATGTATGCATGTATGTATGTATGTATGTAAAGTAAAGTAAAATAAGGAAAAACATTGAAAATAACTAAAACCCACTATCTTGTAAGGAGTTGAGCCAAGCAGGACTAAAAAACCTATGTATAATAGTAATCTTTAGGTACACCACTAGTTGATTTATTTTGATCAGTTTCAGCTGACCTTTGTTAATCATTCCATTATTTCATGCATTCATTTTAAGCTTTCTTTTTTGGCCTTGCTCTCTCAGATCAGTGAGTTAACTATTGTGTGGTCAGTATCGTACCTGTTATACCGAGCTCCAGTTAAAAAGCTGTGGAGACTTTCACCGTGGGGAGGTAATCTGTAAGGGGAAAATTTGATGATAATTTTTGTTGATATATGATTGTATTCAATTTGCTACTTCACCACTTCTCTAGAAGTAGACTTACCAGTAACCCTTTCACTCTTGAGGGTGATTAGCATCTAATTCATAACAATATCACCCCTATGTAAAATCTTAAGACCACAAGAATAACTTGGGAAATGTTCAATGACTGAAGAAGCTCTTGATTGTTAAAAAATTTCTCAAAAAATTAGGAAATTATAATAGTACAATGTTAAGGTGTGCAGGGTTCATTGAAAGCAATTGGTAAGAAATGTTCTATAACTATACACATAGTATACTTAATTTTTGCAATCCATACTTGTCTGATCAACTCCATGTCCACTTGCTTATCACAATGTAGATGTTAGGGAGTTTACAATTTAGTATCTTTGTATTGCATTTAATTAATTTGCTTAGTTTGTTTTTAAATTCTAACCAGTAATAGTGCAGTTAAAAATCTCCTTTCAAAACTAATCTGTTTGAAGTTTTTGGAGAAAAAAAAATTTTATGAATCCTTTTTATGGTGTCTGTGCATCTGAGTGCACTCAATTTCTATGGAGTTTTAAGACTCCTAAACATTCACGTTATCTATGACCAATACTCAAATTGTGCAGTCTACCAAACCTAGAAAAGTCACTAGCCACAATATGATCATGAAAGTTAGGTTCACAAAGTGACATGTAACACACCAAATGACATGATTTGTGAGCTACATGGTTGCTAGCATAAAAGCATAACATTATTTGTAGATTTGTGATCTGTTGTTATCCATTACTATTTTTTTTGGCCATTAATTTAATTATCAAGTTACATGGTTAGCTAACTTTGATAACCAAATTTATGGCCAAAAAAACTAATATCTTGCCAAATGGCTATAGAAATACAAAGACTGAGAAAATTAGAATGGAAAGTAACAAGATTCTATGAAAAGCAAAAGTATTCCTTACTGTTTGTGAATTGGATCACTTTTAAAGAGTCTGTAGTCATCACCTGAAAATGACATTATTTTACAGATAGTTATCAAAAATAACCAGTGCATTTAAAAACAAACAAACAAAAAAAAAAAACGGGTCAAATGGCAATGTCTACAACAGTGACAGGAGAAAGTTAACATAATCAATGAAATTTTCCATCATTATCTGTTGATCTCTTCCTGGAGTCAGATCAACAAACTATACCTCTCAACTTATATGACACTTGTTCAAGTAAATTCAAGTGTAATTCGGCAATTTTTCTCATGAATTGTGATTTGATTGTTTTTGTATTCATGAATCGTAATTAAAACTCGTTATTTAAAATGATTCCACGTGAAGTAATTTTTTTTAATCTAAACGACTAACTTGTGATTGAAGAGCCTTATTAAACATGATTCATGAACCATTATAATTTGCATGATGAATTCTTAATTGGCTATTTACTTGTTTTGAAAATATACATGTTGTTCTTGAAAGGTTGAGTCAGTATAGATAAGACCAGTGTGTTACAGCCTTGCAGAGTAAACCCACTGTTAAACATCTCTATAGTTTATAGAAGAAATTTGTAAACTTACGAATTTCACACAGACGTTTCTTGTTTGTTGCTGATTTAAGATTTGAGGCAGATGAATGTGAACAGGAGGACACCGATGAGGCTGACTGACATCTCAGCAAGCTGAAATTTCAATTGACAGAATTAAGATAAGGAAAACGTGAATCAGTTTTCAAGTTAAAATTGCCATCCTTAGATTTCTCTGCTCGTTCTTTTAGACTATAGTCTTTCAATTATTCACATTTCTGCATCTCACTGCTGATGGAAAGATTTCTGTACAAACCCCATACCCTTCTAAAACAAAGCCATAGTCTTAAAGGTAATCTATTTTCTGCTCTTTTCCTTTTTCCAAGAGCTGTAACAGTATAATTATTTATAATGAAGTATGTGTTATACCGTAATATTGCGTAGCCAAAATACACACTTCATGAGTTGTCCATGCACACGTAATTTTAAGAGAAGTTAAAGGGTATTTTATAGAGTTCCAGTAGCAACACTCCCATAAACAACATTAATTGCACATTATTAACGTACAGTGGGTTGATATGTACCTTGACTTTGTATGCCTTCCAAGGTGTGATGACTGTTCCCTTGCGGAAAAAGGACGAGAAGCATAGTTGTAAACTGTACATGAAGAATGAGGCCTAAAAGGCTGACAAGGAGACTTTCCAACATCTGGCATGCTCTGGTAATCCAGTAGAGAATACTCACTAGCATGGGGTCGTCTCAATGCAGATCCAACCAAAATATGCTGAACCATATACAAACAATGATAATTAATCTCTCCCACTTCATGAAAAGTCTGGAAAGGATAGCATTAAATACAAACAGAGTCCCACCTGTGAACTCTGGTTGTGAACATCTTGTTCTAAGTAAACACAATTATGACTGTGCTGACTGCATGGCCTGGACTCAACTCTGCTCCCCAGACTGCTGCTCCTCTTGAATCTTTCAGCTGATCCTGGACCAGAAATTTTTTAAAAACACATTTTCACTCTCAGAAAATATGTGCATACAGTGAACTATGTTTAACACGAGAGAAGTTTCAGGAGTTAAGATTTGTACAATTTAAGGCCTCAAAAAAGGAACTTAACCAATCTGAGCCATTTCTTAACCATGCTGATGTTTTCAACATATCACATCTTAATAGATAATGAACAGATATAAGCTTATGCAAGATAGATAGAAATAGATAGAAACTTTATTAACGTGTCAAAGAACCCTCTAGTTTGGGAGACATCCCATACTAATGTGGGGACACAAATAAAATGGATAAAAATTATTTACAAAGAATATTACCTACTTAAGAATAAAATATAAGTCATATCATGTATGAAAAAATATGAAATAAATTAAGAAGTACATAGAGCACAGCCCCTACAGCTATCATCTAATAGGGAGCTGAGGTCACGCTTACGTATGCAGTTTTTGAACTAGCTATATATATATTGTGGCTGATCTGTCACATAAGTTGTCAGTATACTCCATAATTTAGGTCCTAAATAGCGTAGTGAATGTTTGCCGTAAGTTATTCTGTTGTATCTAGGAATAGAAAAGTCAGCCTGTCTTAGATTATAGGAAGCGTTGTGTTTCTGAAATATATTACAAATATTCAAGGGGCTAAGGTTGTGTTTAACTTTGTACATTAAAATGCATATATCTTGTAAGCGTCTGTTAACTAGCGAAGGTAAATTAGCTTTCTGCAGCAAACGTTCATAGGTGGAGTGTTTATCGTTGAATACAGCCCTTAGGCCTCTTTCTTGAACTCTCTCTAATCTGCGACTATCACTAGATTTACAAAAATGCCATGTGTGATGGCAGTAGGTTAGATATGGTAGAATGGCTGCCTTAAAAAGTTGTAATTTTGCATTTGTTGGAATCAAGTTGCGGAGTCTCATAAGCACACCAATCCTTTGACTGGCTTTGTTACAGATAGTATTTATATGATTATTGAAGTTCAAATTTGAGACAATTGTGACTCCAAGAAGTTGGAGAGTAGCGGTCGTGTTGATTTTCTCTTTGTTTACTAAGATAGCGCATTCTTCGATGTTATTTTCTGAGTTGTTGTTGCTACCAATAATTAAGGTTTGGTATTTTTTAAGGTCACCAACTAATAGATTAGATTCGACTACCAGTTGGTTGCTTTTTCCGTACTGTCTCTAAGTTTGGATGTAATAGTGGGTAGGTCATGACCTGTATGGTAAAATTGATGGTCGTCCGCGTACATTGATATATCTCTAACATGATAAGATAGATCGCTTTGGAATATATTCCACAACAGAGGACCCCAATGCGGATCCTTGATTCAAATCCAACAGATCAAGAGATCAATATGTTGATCTGTTGAGATCGATACAGAAAGCACAAATATTCTGGGAGCGATGATTGCGAAATTGAACCTGAGAAAAGGAGGTCCCTACCACTAGTCCATTAGGAAAAATTTTACGAACAGTCGAGCAGTGTGATATCAGCTGTGGTGCATGGACATACCTTTCCTCTTCTGGTATTGTTGCGTGTGATCGAGGGGTATACGAAATTGATAATACGTTAAACTGCCCCTCTTTTCATGCATCTTGTGAACTCATCTTCCCATGGAGAATTCTAAAACCCCTGTGGCGTAAACCAAAATCTATAATAACCTTGTGAAGGAATCACATGTAAAAGTCGCCATTTTTCAGTCTTCTCTTGCATCGAATCGTAGTTTCCTTGGCAACAAACTCCTTTCATAACCAGTTCTCCGCAGGATGGTAAAAGTTGAACTTTTTTACAACTTACCGTTTATCTTTCATTATAAAAAATTTTTTCCACCCGTATTTTTTTATTCGATACTGCTAAGCATGTTGCCCTGAAGTTTGTTCGGGCTGACAAAATTGTCTTTGGCGAGACTACGCCCATGCCAACCACTTGTTTTCATTTGGAAAAACCCTCTTTGCAAAATAAGGAAAGGAAAGATCCCTGAAAAGAATAAAGGACCTGCCCTCCCCCGCCTATTTCCAGAACCGCTGGATCGCATTTCGGTCGTAATTCGACTTTTTAGAAATTTTAAAGAATGTTTTCGCGAGGGTATTAGTTTTCGTGATTACGAAAACTAAAACCCCGAAATTTATTTACCGTTAAATTTGACCTAAAACACAGTGGAAAGGATCGAACAAGAGATAATTTGACAAATTAGACCTATTTTGGTTACAATTTGACTTTATATTCGGACGGATTCGATTTTAGGGGGTCTTAGTTTTCGTAATCTCGAAAACTAAGAAGGGTCTTAGGTCTTAGGTCTTAGTTTTCGTAACAGCCCATTGTACCTACTTTGATCCGACAAAGGTGTGACCATACAAATTAGCCAGTGTTTGACTCCTCGAAGAAAGGATCGTTCTCTAAAGATCCCTCATGAACAATATCATCAAATAAGTCCGATAAATACCTCGAATTTCGGTATTAATCCATAAACATCGCTCGGCCCTACGGCCTTCGGGATTAATGTCTCCGTTTTCGGTATTTACCTATTATTAATTAATCTCTTATTTATCTTTTATTTAATGCAACGCCGTGCCTTATTATTCAAAGGGCTGACAATACCGTTGCTTGTAGCACTTGATTGAAACCTTAACAAACAAACTGAACAAGTTTCAGTGTCTTTTTCAAGACAGTTACTAAAAAAGGCGATGGAGATATTGTGATTTCTGACAACGATAAAATGTGTTGCAGTGAAATCTCAGCGGCCGAGAATTCCAAAGTCACCACAGAATTCAACAGTTTGTTTCTGAACAATGAAAATTCTCTGGGGGTACTTTGTTCTCGAAACAATGAAGTTAATTTTCTAAACGACCTTTTTTTGATTCTTTTTCATTTTTGACCAATCCACAATCAGCTCGGCGAAACTTGCGAAAGTTTGTTCCAAACAAACTGATCGCTTCCATGACAACATCTTAGACGTGACGTCACGGCAGAGTAATCAACGTGATCTCGCAGAAATACCAAATTTTCATGACAAAACATTGTGGAACTATTCTTCCAATTGTGGAATAGGTTATGACATAAACGAGGATACACGGACTTCACTTCATTACTAATTGTGAAGTTTGATACCTTGGATTGTCTGAAGGAAGTCTGGTGACTTCTGACTTTTTTTAGATCGCAGACTAAGCTGTTCGAATTCTTAGAACACCTCTTAACATTCAACATGTCATGTTACAGACCTTCAACTTAGTGCAGCTGGAATTTCTGCAGAGAGCAACTTCTGTAACCAATTTATATTTATGCTCATCGAGGTTCCTGTCTCGCTAAAAGACTGATGAAAACAATAATTGGAAAGAGGATTTCAGCGATGCTAAAACGTTACACATCTCAGAGCGGGAAACTGCGGTTCAACCTTATTATTGTAGTTTTTGGATTGATAATTGTGAGCTACGCCGGTAAGATTGTGATTCCAGATGCGCTTTTCTAGTGTGGTATGTATGGAAATGACTTTCAAATTCTCTGGGATGTTGAACTTTGTTTTCTTCCTCTTAGGCTTAGCTGGAGCAGCTTGTGATTGTGAGACAGAATGTTCATGTAATCAAAGCAATTGTACTGCTGGGAAATATTGGGTCTGTGATGGCTGTGTTGACTGTCCTGCTGGACACTTGTAAGTGACAAAGTTCTCATGACCTGTATCCACTATCGTTCAGATATGTAAAAATAACTGGGATCTAAATGTTTTGCCAAAGGACGGGAAATTATGGATACAGGGTTTATATTAACTGATGAGGGTTGCTTATCGACTAGAAACTTGAGTAGTATTAACTTGTATACCTTCATATCATGTTCTATTGATAGTGAAAGTGGTTGCAGAATATATTGTTTTTATCTCAATTGGATTCGTGGTTTCTCTAAATCTGTCGATATTTTCACTTTATTTTAGCTGTCTGGCAAACAGTACTGCTCCTGAGCCCTGCCCAGCGGGGACCGAAAATCCCAATACCGGTTCTAAAAATTCATCAGATTGTACAGTAAGTATATAATTTTGTTGACTAAGGTTTCTTTTCCATTTGAGTCTCGAAGCTTAATCTTCTTTTACGTTTTACTTTTCCTTTTTTTACACGACGATCAGCTATAGTATTGATAGACATTTATCAATTTGAGATATTATCTGGATTTCATTAGAAAACGAAAGGCAGCCTTGTTGTGTAATAATGTATGGACTAAACACCGTTTTTCAAAGCGTGTTGCATAAAAATTTGACATTTCCAGACAGCAGTGTACAAAAAGTTAAATTGCAGCCATTTTCAACCTTCACGTAGGCCTAATACCTGTGGCAATGGTGAAATAGTCTTAATCTGATGATTTTAATAAACGCAGGAAGTTGAAAACATTAACAAGTGCAACTAAGGTTCCAACATTATCCATTTCCAAGATCAAAATCTTAATTCTCTATTCTGTTGGCATTAAATGTCTTAAAATTTTAGCCTCGAGAATTCAGAGCTTAGTCAAATGATGTTGCTTCACTGATACTTTTCTCTTTTCTCATCTACTTCTTCCTTGGTAAAGCCTTTGTTAATGTAAGGAGAAAACCTGATGTGGTTCTCTTATGTAGGCTTGTGTATCAGGAAAAAACAGCGCAGCAGGATCCATAGCATGTACACCTTGTCCTGCTGGTTACAACTGTACATTAGCTGGAAATATCACTTTGTGTCCACTTGGAACATATTCTAATTATGGAGAAGGAATATGTCACTCTTGTCCTACTAGTAAAGTGTGCTTGGATCCTACTCAACAACCTCAGGTACAAGCTAAATTTTTGTCACTGAAAAATTTCAGACAGGACCAATTTTTTTGCAGGAGTTGAAATTTTTATCAAGGAGGAGACTTGGTATTATTTTTGGAAGAATATTGTTCGCTAATGGTTTCTTAAGCCAGCGTAAATGGATAATACTTCATTTTAAAGAAAAAAACAGGCATAGAAAATTGTTGTAGATAAAAATATAGGCTTTAAATCAAAACTAAAATGTTTTAGTTAATGATTATTGTTGTGTATACAATTTACCACAAGTGATAAATTACGGAGTCAGATGAAAGGGTGAATTAAAATGAAGATGATTTTATAGAATGAACATGTTGTGGTTGAAATTTGTCACTGCAGAGTTAAAATTATTCAAACTCATTTGATAGATACCCTCTTTTGTTTCAAGTTATAGTGATCAATAATCCATAATTTAAAGAAAAATAAAAATTAAACTTCTCAGATGGATATAAATCTGAAATGATATTTGAACCACAAGATATATTCTGTGTCATCTGTGGTATTTTCAAATGTCAGGATTAACTTCAGTGGTCAGCATAAATGTATGACATCTTTTGTTGTCTCCCTAAAAGTGATAACAGAGGACAAAATAACGTGTTTTTTTCTACTATAGTATTGCCCTGGAGGCTATGAACCAGGTCCTTTACAAACAAACTGCTCAGTTTGTGAGCCAGGAACATTCTCTTATAATGGCACATCTTGTCAGTCCTGTGCTAAAGGAAGCTATAGTCTTGGAGCAGCAGCAGAATGTACTGTTTGTCCACCTGGAAATCAGTAAGTCTTGTAAATACCATAAAAATTTTCAGAGAGAGATTGATTAGCATGTCTTCTTCGGTTTTGAGACAGAATATCTGGAGTACAATTTCTTAGCTGTTTTTAACGCGAAGAGAATTATTCATTTGTTTTTCAAAGGTGAGGTAATAAACCTCAGTCAAACAAATGTGATTGTTAACAACTATTCACCAAAGTGGAGGTGGTTAGTGGTGGATATTTACCAAGCCGCGAAGCAGCTAGGTAAATATCCACTGCTAACCACCGACACTGAGGTGAATAGTTGTTTTAGTATATGCTAAAACAGTGAGATAATATCCACCACCGTCGTTAATTTGAGTGATTTCTTCGCTTGTCACAGATGCAAACCGGGACGCCATTTTTTCCCGAGTTGCTTTAGAGATAAATAGCAAAGGATATTTGGAGTTTGACTAGCCAATCAGAGCATGCCTTCAACGCTATCTACTGTTTTAGTATATACTAATATGCATTATTTATAGTAGACACACCCTAATGTGTGGTATACTTGCATGTAAATGTATAAAGACATGTCAGATAGCAATTTAGTTTACCAATTCAGGGTTATTTCTCCACCGCACGAAGAAGCGAATTGGTAGTTATTTCTCCTAACAGTATCATTCCTCAATTAATTATTAAGGTCACAAGAGTAAAGGGTATAAGAGTAAAGGGAATAAGAGTAAAGGGAATAAGAGTAAAGGGAATAAGAGTAAAGGGAATAAGAGTAAGGGAATAAGAGCAAAACCAAGAAGCTCTTGATTGTTAGACTTAGTCTCCTTGTAGTACCAAAGGAAATGTTTAAAGAACAGAAAGGAGAACTTTCATGGTGATATCAGTGTGTAAAGGCTGCAGCATTATCAGTAGACTGAACGTACCTAACTTGAGTCAAACTGCAACAATTCATTATATTTATTATGTTTTAAAAAAACCAATTTTGTGATGTTCCAGCTGTGCTGACCCAAGTACTGATCCATCTACATGTCCAGCTGGTACTTATGCTCCATCAGGGAGTTTGCAATGTCTTTCCTGTCCAGTTGGATCTCACTGTCCATCACAGGGCCTTTCAGTACATGTCCCTTGTGTGAATGGCACCTACTCAGATAGTGTAAATCAAAGTAATTGTCAGAGTTGTCCAGCTGGTAAAAGATGTTCAAATCCTGCCCAGGCACCTGAGGACTGTCCGAATGGGACATATAGTAAGGGTGGGGCAACAGAGTGTACCATTTGCCCTAAAGGCCATCGGTAAGTATACAATTATCAAAAATTCACTGTCATTCCATTTCTGTACAAGTAAATGCCCTTGTGATAGGAAATATCTAAATTTTATTTTCTAGATGTCCTATGAACTCAGTAGATCCCATCCCTTGCACAAGTGGTACTTTTGCTCCAGCGCAAAGTACTTTTTGTCATTGTTGTCCTGTTGGTTCACATTGTCCATCCGAGAAGCTCTCTTATCACCTCCCTTGTGCAAATGGGTCCTATTCTGTTGTGACGAATGCTACACGCTGTTTAGCATGTCCGGCAGGTTTTAAATGTCCAAATCCTGCTGAACAACCAGTGGAATGTAACAATGGAACTCACAGTAAAGCTGGAGCTACCCACTGCATAATGTGTCCAAGTGGTCACAAGTAAGGGAATGCATTTGTAGGACTTCCTTTGTGGATGTTAAATAACCAATCACCTTTGAATTCCATAATTATCATTATAATTCGGTTATCAGGAGATGTTTGTGTGAATAAATGTGTGCGCACATGTGCATGTACTCAGGAAGGAGGGGAGGAGAAAATCACGTATTCCATGGTCAATGCTTTGGCAAATAATATGATAGTAATTTTTTTTGGCAATTTATTGATTTATTGATCAATTTATTTATTGATATTCATTAAGCTTTCTATGCTTACTTACTTTGATTTGTACATTAGAAGTTATCTTATCTTATGCTGTAGATTCTCCACCTTTAAGACTTTGCTTAAAAAATTCCCCATTGACAGAGAACTAATTAAATTAAACTCACCCACCTATAATTACTTCAGTGGTCAGCATAAATGTTTGACATCTTTTGTTGTCTCCCTAAAAGTGATAACAGAGGACAAAATAACGTGTTTTTTTCTACTATAGTATTGCCCTGGAGGCTATGAACCAGGTCCTTTACAAACAAACTGCTCAGTTTGTGAGCCAGGAACATTCTCTTATAATGGCACATCTTGTCAGTC